AATTAAATATTTTGTTCTGTGCGACATGTTCACTCACATGTTCAGTGCCAATCAATGTACGATATTTTTCTTCATTGTCCTGTAAAGAAACGAAACCAGAAAACCAGCTGTTTTCCTTTAAAGCAAAAATCCCCCAGCCTTTAAATCAGTGTTTATCAAACTTGGCAATTTTACGATGTGTCGACTTCAACTCCCATAATTCCCCAGCCAGCATGTCTGGCTAGGGAATTCTGGGAGGTGAAGTCCACACATCCTAAAGTGGCCAAGTTTGAGAAACATGGGTTTAAATGAACCTCGTACCAAAATATTTGCATCAATTCATTTCAAAACTGGGAGGCTGCCTCCATTTGGCACGACCTGCGATGCTTGGAACTGCAGCTCCAGTTGGATGACGTCCACCAGTCCCACCACTGTTGGATTTCCCATAAGAGTCAAAGGGAGGTACAAAACTTCTGAATTCCAGACTTGCTCCTGAGTGGAACCAGATCTCTCGCCTCCAAACCAGATGCTCCCTGGCTCCGTCTTGCCGTTCCCATATAGACGCCCCTATAAGATTTCCTTAAACGGTCCCGCCTGTAAACTGCTTTGTGTCTGCGGAGGGCTTTGACATCCGCCTAAGGGCGAATGGGGGCCAGACCTGCATCTCGAAGCACTCAGAGATTCAGTCCAACTACAGTCAAGGCCGGGCAGAAAAACAACTGGATCGCTTTCTGCGTGGCGGTATCGATCGTAGGATTCAACTGAGGTTTGGGTGCAGTAGGGGCTGAGTCGCAAGAGGGACAACGGGCTTGACCCAGAGTGGCAAACCTTTGCAGGTGTTGACCCCAACTAGCAGCCTTCTCCCCAACACATGTTTGTTTTAACCCCAAGTCTATCTGGAAAGGGCTTCTGTGCACCTAAATCTCCACTTTTAAACCACGATTCATGTGTTTTTGCAAGCAGGTGGATTGATGGAATCGCTCGGATGCTGCTTTTGAACTTCGTAAAAAGAAAAGATGCAATGAGGGGCAATTCAAGGGATTGGAGAGGGGGGTAGAGTAGCTCACCCCAAACTAAGACTGATGATTTGGGGGCCTTTGTAATTTGGAACTAGGATTGGAGAGCACGTGTGCTGTGGCAAATGCTTGCAGAGAGATTTTTATTTCTCCCTCTCTCAGAGTGTGGACTTGGAATTATGTGTTGAAATTAAATGCAGGGAGATTTGTGACCAATAAAAGGACCACACACACACACACACACACACACACACACACACAATAAGCTGTAGAATTCTCTGCCAACAGATGTGATTATGGCCACCAATGTAGAGGGTTTTAAAAGTTGAGTAGAGAAATTTGTGGAGGTTCAGGCTACTGGTGGCTCCTTGATGGCTACACATCTTAGCGGCCATTTGTCAACATTTTTGTGGTTGTCGCCTGTCTTAAATGCCAAGTACTGGAAGCAATTTGGGAGGAGGGCAAGAGCAAATCCTGTCCATGTTTCTGAGCTTCTCAGTGCATCTGTTGGCCATCGAGGGACCAAGAAGTTCGGACTTGGTGGGTTGATGGCCTCATCCAGGCTCTTCTTAGGTTCTTCTGAACACTGAGGGGCAGGTGGGACTGGATGACTTCAAGGACCTCTTGCATCTCTACGGTTTTCTGAGAGTTCCCTTGCTTGCCTCTAACTGCAGCACAAACTGCCCCGACAACCTCTTTTCCATGGTCTTCATGACTTTCCCTTCATGTGGCCCTCCAGCAGCAGTGTCCCTACGATGTGATCAAAAAAGTCAAGATCCTGGTTGCAGTGGCCTGACTGAAGTTTTGCTGACACAGGTTATGCCGTGGATACAATCTGAAGGGTTTCATTAGCCATTCAGTTGGTGGCACAGCCAGGTGACCCTGGTGGTGAGATTAGCATGGTACCTCTTGCCCACTTTAGGCTGGTGTAGGCATCTCCTCTCCCTCTGGGCATCGCCTTCTGGATCTCAGACCTCTGCATCAGGCTGAGCAGTGGTGGACCAGGGGAATATATGTTGAAGTGGCATAAAAGAGAGCAAGAACAACTTTCCCTTCATGTGTCAGCTACTGTTTGACTTGCTTTTGAATATGGGTTTAGCACTCTTCTAGGATAGCCCTCAAGCTGCGTCCAAACGAAGCAATCAGCTGATATCCAAATAGCACGTTCTGCAAGAGCGTTCCTCTCAAACAGGGCTCTTTTGGAAGAGCTCTAAGTCCATCTCCAACAGCAGCCTGACTTGCAGCTCATATCATCTGATTGTTGGGCTCCCGTTGAATGCAACGTGCAAAATGCTTCCAACAAGTGAGGCTTTATCCTTCTTTTTCTTCGGGGTCATCTTTTGTCCTTGATACTCATTTGGATTCAGCTATTTATTACCATGTTGTCACTTGGGGGTGGGGTCTGATTTTGTAAGCCACCCTGAGTCTTTTGGCATTGTGGTAGGCGATTTGATTTGATCTGATTATGTGCCCTCAAGTTGATGTTGACTCTTAGCAATGATATAGATGGACCTTCTCTAGGACAGTCTGTCCCCAACCTGAACCTTCAGGTCTTCCAACGCTGCACTCATCACTGGTGCACTGAGTCCATCCCCCTTGCTGCTGGCCATCCTCTTCTCTTTCCTTCCACCTTTCCCAGCCTCAGAGCCTTCTGTGGAGAGCTGGGTCTTCGCATAATGTACCTGAACTAGGATAATTTGATCAGTTATAAGAGACTGTTAAATCAATTGATCAGAGTGAATTTTGACAGATGGCTAAACCCACAGGTCTCATTCTCTTTCAAAGCTTGCCTCCTCCCCAGCTCCATCCCACATTAAGAGAAGTAGTTGGTGTTCCCCCCCCCAAACAGTGACAATTGGTGGGAGGGGTGGAAAGCAAACTCAGGGGTATCCCCCAAGGTATAAGAGACTGTTAAATCAATTGATCAGAGTGAATTTTGACAGATGGCTAAACCCACAGGTCTCATTCTCTTTCAAAGCTTGCCTCCTCCCCAGCTCCATCCCACATTAAGAGAAGTAGTTGGTGTTCCCCCCCCCAAACAGTGACAATTGGTGGGAGGGGTGGAAAGCAAACTCAGGGGTATCCCCCAAGGCCCTGTCCTCAACATGCCTGGTGCACCATGATTAAAGGCCATTTGATATCACTGCACCCATGAAAGGGCAGGGATCCTCAGCAGAGGCAGCAGATGCCACGCCAGCATAGTCGTCTGCGGGCAGAGGGGTGTGTGTGTGGAGTGCACTTTGGAACCAGAATACGTCATTTCTGTGAATCTCTTCTCCAAAGCACAAACACGGTCTGTATGTTCTCCCTGTTTTTCAGGCACAAGAGTGATGTGAAGATGTCTGCCCTTGTGGTTCCCACAATGCACACGCTACAAATTGGTAAGGAAAAATGCAATGTCCCAGCTGTGGTCCTGGGTGGTGGAAGTTGTGAGAGCCTCTCCGAGAGGGTTGGGGGGCTCCTGGGAAGGGGTTGGGGATGCTGCTCAGGCCACCCAGATTGCCACAGGAAAGTGCAGAAGAGCCCAAATCCTGCAACTCTTGCTCTCCAGCTGTGCTCCATGAAAGCTCTGCACGTTCCAGATGATTGCCAACATCTAACTTCTAAGACGGTTGGGCTCCAAAGGTCATTTCCCCCCCCAGCATCTCACTTTCATGGAGTGCTCTTCACACCAGTGGCCTCTCCTTGGATTTCTGCACGTGTCTCAGACGCCTCTTCTGCCAATGGCTGCTGGTTGGCTGGCCAAAGTCAATGAAGACAAGGGCCCTTGTTCTCCGCTTTCTTTCCACACCTTCTCCTTCAGTCTCTTGCGGA